AGAGAGGGGCGGGAAGGAGGGGGACAGCAGATTGATGCGAAACGCAAGGGTGGCAGGCGTGGAAGAGCTCGGCGGGGGTCTGACCCGCCAATTCAGCATCAGCCATCCGGGCACTCAACCGCAAATCGAGTTCCGGCCGTAGGGCGGAATAAAATCATCCCCTTCTCTTTCGTCTCCATACCTAGCCAGCAACTACCACCCTACGGTTGATTCGCATGTAGGCAGGCTAGTAAGACATTACTCGCGAGGGACGCGTTTATTCGCCAGGGGGAAAGGCAACTTTAATGGGAACAGGAGAATGGAAGGTCTGCTCGTTGCAGGCTTGGGAACGTTACGTTTGTTTCCGCCGGATATGACGTCCTGGATGTCGTTTCGCCTTATCATTCCCATACCGTATCGTGTATACGTAGTACGCACGGTACGCACCCTTATCCAAATGGCCTGATTTATGGCAGATATATTCCATCGTCGATCGTAGAATCGCAATGTCATATGCGAATATTAGATACCTACTATGGCCTGAGATTCACTCGTGAATCTGTAATACGATCTGAGTATGCGACTCGCTCCGAGGAGGGATCTTTGACCGTTATCGTCGAGTGTACGAATTTATTATTTATTAACTCGAATGAAATGAAATAAACTAATTTTTCTTTAATTTCATCGACAGTCCCACCGGACATCTTGGATTATCAAACCAGCACGGATATGGTCGTACGCGAGGGGAGTAACGTGACTTTACGATGTACGGCCACTGGATCCCCACCACCTAGCATTACCTGGCGAAGAGAAGATGGTCAGCTCATGCTTCTTGGAAATGGACAGCAAGGTCAGTTCACGAACGTTACCTCGATATCGCACTTGAGGCTATATGGAAAATTGATGTTTGTGGAAAGTTTATCGTTCGCTAATGTACCGGAGTCATTGATGAATAAAATATACACTTATGTTAAGTTCACATCTCATTAGAGAGATATTGATATTGAAATGAAACTGGAAACTTTCATAATAGTATCAACGGTTAATGGATACAGCAATATCCTTCGAATAAATAAATATCCACGCACTTCCCCACTTTCGGCAAAATAAAAGTGCAAAGTTGCTTGATTTTTTTTTTACGCGTAGAATCAATGTTTCGCGTCGAATGTTTTTTTTTTTCTCTCCCTCTGTACCTACGTACACGTAATACCACTCTAACGCCGTTCTATTATCATGCAGATACGTTACCAGAAATTGCTAACACGTTTCGAAAATCGCGATAAAGCTGATGGAGCGATCTGAAAATCGAAGCCTATCCAAGTCCCGATAAAGAATCTCATCTTTTATTTCCTTGATACCCATACACAGGGATTCCCATGAGATGCTGTAGCGATCGGTCCACGTATATCCCTAGGTGTATATCAGGCGTATCCTTGTTCTAGGGAATCCTGAGGTAGACTAGAATTTGTATTGAATATTTCTTGATAAACAAAATAAAAAAGTCTCGTGGAAACTAAACAGGACCATATTCATAGCTCACCGGCGGAGTCCCAGTCGTCGTCTCAGGGGATGGTAAACATTTGGCGTTCAAGCCAGACCAAGGGGTTAGAGAGGTGATACGTTTGCAGAAGCAGAAAGCTCTTCTGTATTTGCATTGAAATTGGCAAACAGAGAAACGACAGTCCGGACCGGACACAGGGGGGGTGGATCACGTTCCGGGATATGAGTCCTGCAAGAATTAATAATAGGGATTTGAGATAGAGGGAACATCCCTTTGCGGTGTTTGTACGCTTCGTCACTTACGCAAGCGAGGTGGGACCATCGTAACACCTAGACCGAAATAGACCATTCAAATTTCCCGCCACAGTCACGCCAGCCGTACTTGCGTCTTAAGCTATTCAAATTAATTTGCAAAAGCCCCGCCGATCGTTATACCTGTCTCTGGCTATTTTAGAGGGTAGAATATTCAATGAAAAAAAAAAAAAGAAAAATAATGAAAATAAGGTTTGCAGCTATAGACGAGAGATTAAACGAAAAGTTAAGCGGTTAATTTAAAAGAAGCGAACGTCACGGCTGCCTTTCAGCTGGTCACGTTCAGTCGCAGTAAGGCGAAGGCTTATCGGCGTTCAAGCTACGGCTCTCTATTGGGGTCAGTATTCATGTTGGCTACTTCATTAGCAGAGTACGTAGCCTTCTGCCAACCGTAGGTGAATTTCAGTAGCTGGCATACCAACCATCACTGCCAGAAGCAGCGCCGGCATGGATATCAATGTTTGCTGCCACCTTTGGATTAATGAATACATCCAAAGACGTATTGCCGACTGAACGGTGTCTAGATAGCTAATCAGAGATGAGGTCTGGATGAACGTCTTGAGTCTTGATAGTATATCTGCAATTGTATATATAGTATATCGTATCCGTCTACTCTCTAGGTGGAAATTAAACGTCGTACCGTTTTCTCATAGTGCATGTTGGGGGTCCTTGAAGAAACTTCAGGGCTTTTCAAGCATCCCTTAATCCTCGCGTCTTTAGTCTCCTTTGGTCTGTTAGCAACGTGCAAATATTCTCCTGTATTTAATTGCGGCTACCATCTGAACCCAGGCAGCCTCCGCCGAGTTCTGAATCAGTAAACTGCATTCGGGTCTGTAACTGATGCAGCGTCAGAATCGTGTTACGGAGTTAAACTGACGCCGTTAAATTACCTTGCTGAAACAGATTGGAACGGTTGATGAGTTTTTGGACGTCGTGAAACACATTGGGAAAAATAAAAAAGAAATACAGACAGCCTTATCGCGAGGCCGATGGAATCGCGTTCCTCATGAATTTCTTTTTTAGGTAAATAAGGATTAGAGTCTTCGCGTGCGTTCGTCCCGCCAGGACGGAAAATGGTGAAAGTGCGTGTAAAACAATACGCACGGTGATAAAACTGTACCAAACGACCGAAAATGGCCTTCGTATATATGAGGCATTAATCGACGCGGCTTTTTGTCATAGTACTTTTATATATATGTATGATAGATATATATATATATATATATACATATATACACACGCTATCCACCAAGCGTGTAAATAAAAGTTTTCCCCTGCCGAGAATTCATAATTCAATAAATTGTTGTTTCAGGCGTTGACCATTCACAGTCAATTTAATACAGCTAGTAAATAGCCATGTTTATCCTGGCTGCGAATGATTAACATCTGGAACAATCATTTATTACACACACATATCCAGCCGATAATTTTTCATGTATAGTTATAATTAATCGAACTTTTTCAACGTTTATCAATCCTCTCAAGTTTCACTCGGATTTTTAATTAATTGAACACTACCCTGTATATCCGCAGGGAGGTATCTTTGGTATTATTTATATACGCGCTTTTCCACGTGCCTTTAAATCGTAATGAAGGGCCTGCGGAAAAAGTTGCTACCTAACGGCACTCCAGCAATTTTCTTAATGAATAGCACGTTTAATAAAACATGTCTCTCGGCATATAAATTATACATCGCGAGATCTGCAGCTCTCTCTATTGACTTTGTTTTTTTGGTTTAATTATTTACAGTGATGAGCGTCGATGGACCAAATTTTACCATCACCAAAGTCAATCGATTGCACATGGGACCATATCTCTGTATAGCGTCCAATGGCGTGCCTCCTACCGTGAGCAAAAGGATTATGATGATTGTTCATTGTACGTATAATAATTATATTGAATAATCATACCTACTTAGCAATTAATAAATTTTAATTAATAATCATGTAAAATTAAACAAGTTCAGTATCGAAGTTTTTTTTCATACATTTACATTTTCATCTATTTACATTTTTGACTCGATTATATATATATTTTTTTTTTTTGAAAAAAAAAGAAACAATGAATAATACGAAGTTAAATTTCGATCCGGTTGGCAAAGTTATTCCAACTTTGGTTTAACGGGACTTTACATAAGAATGACTGAAAGTTGAGAATGTTTGTCAAAGAGCACTGTACGTAAAACGTGTCAAGTAAAAAATCTTTGTAAAAGTATATCAAGTTTTGTTCAACCAATCAATGCGATTTACGTAAAATAATTTTTACGAGAGTCCGAGAAATCGTTGAGTCTTTTAATAGTCAAACATATTACTTGTATTTCTCTTTTAATACATATATTCATGCAGCTATATCTATATTCCGTTCTCGTACAACAACTCATTTCCCACAGTCCCTCCAATGATTTGGATCCAGAACCAGTTAGTCGGAGCCAAGGAGGGTCAGCAGATGACGCTAGAGTGTCACTCCGAGGCCTACCCAAAATCCATCAACTACTGGACCCGGGATAAGGACGAGATAGTTCCGCAAGGTAATCCTGACACGAAAAGGATTAAAAGTATCCGAATCTCTTTATCGAATAGATATAATCCAGTCACGTTAGTTCGTCAATGGTGGATTCGCGTGTACGAAGTCATTTGATTATCGGACAAAGTAGCTTGGAAGAAATCGATATAAGGAGTAGAATAAAAAAAAAGAAGAAAGAAAACGAATAAAGTTATCTTATACATGGAGTCGATGAATAAATAAGACTTCTCTGATCCGTCGGATCGTTTATGCCGAGAGATATACATGTTTCAGCACGTATGCATAAATCTATATATATATATATATATATATATATATATATATATATATATATATATATATATATATATATATATATATATATATATATAGAGATATATATATATATGTATATACTTATATACATATTTAGAGTTCACTTTCGAGACACCCATCCACGAAACAGAGAGGATTTAGTACATCTTATACGAGCGATCGATTTCTTCGACTCCCCAAATTCATATATATGTTTTCTTCAGGCTTCACCTTTTTCTTCGTTCTTCTTATATCTGCCTTTTTCCCCCATATAGATTTCCTTACGCCTATTAGACGTGCCGATATTTGAGCGTTTCGCGGGACACGCGGCTTCTTTCAACCGGTTATTCGAACGAAATTAGCTTTTGAATAATGCATGTGCTGCCAGATTCGGTACGACGTTAGAGATATAGCATGATTTTATCTGGCATTTATGAGGAAGGGCTCGTGTCGGATGAGAGCACAGAATGTGTATAGTAGAGGACAGTATAGAGTAGCGATTTACGTGTAGCCCGAGCTACCATATATGCTTTTCCCATAAGCCTATTATATTGTAGATAACATATTTGCATGTGTATCGAAACCAATAACACGTCACGCCACGAAATTCGAATTCAGTTCTAGCAGTCATCATACTTTTGATGTACGTAGAAATGCGTGCAGGTTACGTTTGTTTAATGGCTTACAATTTCGTTACGGTTAACTCACTTGTCCAGCTCCATACGTATATGCATCCACACGTATCCTCCCTTGTCGTTGAATAACTACCTGTACACTTTTCCACGAAACAGCTAAAGCTACCGAGAAACCGGCCGTCGATGTTTGCTCTACTTTCGTGTTTTACGCGTTCTCTATCTCTATCGGTATTTCCATAGTTGGCCGTAAGAAAGCGCCACGACCGCTAACTCCCGGCTTGGCCGCCCGATGGCGATCCCTTCGCGAAGTAGTGCTCGCGTGCATTCGCAATCGTTCTGTTACTATTTTAGACCATTTATAGCCACGCCAACGGCAATGGTGCCTCGTACCATGGAAGCCTGGAATGCCTCAATGGTGTCGTTATAAACTGAAATCACGTTAAGTTACCTTCTTGCGCGTCGAATACTAAAACGATCTAGACACGAGTATTTCTCAAGCCATTTTCAAATACTGATTGAACTATTGTGACGTTACTTTAACGACCAAGTGAATTTTTCCAGACGTTCGTCGTACCTCCACGGTTTCTACCTTCTTACGTAATCTCTATACGTATACTATAGACCTATATATCTATGTATACTTATCTACCATCGCCATTTTTCGTTTCAGGAAACGAATAAAGCTGCCTCCGATCTAGTTGTATTGCCTATTGACGTCCGGGACACGTGTCTCAATATTTCGCTATTTTATCACAGTTCTTGAAATATACTGTACAATTCTTTGACGTGTCTAATACTCGGATACAGTCCGACATTATCAACCTTAGAAATATCCAGGATATTATTGAGACGGACTTAAAATTATGTTACGGGTAATTTAGAATATGTAGATCTTGATCTTCTTAAGTCACTGATTTCTTATCGTCCAGTTACTCCGTGGAAAGATAAGCTACACAAGATTCCGTCGTGTGGCAATATTTCATGTCGTACCCACCACTTTACAGTCCTAAAAATACAATAAATAAATCAACATTTCTCTTTCTTTTGCAAAACAGGTGGAAAGTACGAACCTGTAATTCTTGGCACTTCGTATAAAGTTCACATGAAGCTGACCATACGTTCGGTCACGGCATCGGATTACGGAGCATACAAATGCGTCTCGAGAAATTCGTTGGGCGACACGGACGGCAGCATTAAGCTTTACCGTGAGTAAATTACATTTTAATTACAGTACGAGTACACACGAGCCAACCCAATTTCGGTAGTTGGTAAATAATACAAAAAAATCATTTTATACGAATTATGCACTTTGGAAAATTATTTTAACTACTCACCGTCGAAATGTACCCTTAACGATGCTAATTCTTATGCCGGACTTTAATGAGAGGCACAAATCATTCTGCCTGTTGGATGTGAAAGTGCGGTTGACGGATTCGCGCATGCTTGTACAGACGAACTAGATTCCCTGTGAATTAGCAACGTATCAACGAATTACAACGTACTGAGTCTATCGGACCGTGTATTCATTACAGGATGTTTTGGCATACAGAGTTAAATCGGTAACGTTTTGTCGGAATACGATTTTACCACAAACCGCCAGTTTTCATTGTACGAAAGGGCGGGAGGTGGGAGGATTTCCAATTGGATTTTGGGGTTAACCGTTAAATTTACCTGTATTTGAAATTTATCATCTCGTTATTTCAATTCGTAATGATAACCATTCTAGTTGTATATCAACTTGACAGTGTACGTATGTATAGTCTCTACCCGTTTCAATTGAACCTGCAGAACTTTACGTGGCACGGATAAAGAAATGATGATGAACAAATGGAAGGTCTGTGCGATGGGAAAAAATTTCTACCCCAGAAAACCATCAACCCTCTCCTACCCTTATTTTTCCCAGTCTGTTCTTCTTTCGTCTTCACGCAACTGTTATTACCGGGCGAATTTTTCGCACGGTGCTCGCTCATGCCGTTCAACTTGGCACGTAAACGAAAATCATTAGTTCATTCGCGAGTAAAATAGCCTTCCGAGGGGCCATCCTCCTATGATTTTTTAAGTAAATAAGTCCCCCAGACAGAATATTTTATTCTTTAAACGACTGTATATACATACCGGGTGGCGACTGTATGTGAATTTGAACACCCAGTAGTTTTCATTGGTTGCTTGGTAAATGTGCCATCTACTGCTTACCAGATTCCTCAGGAACCTTCTGTAAGGAGTTCTCCTCGTTATGTAATTATTGATTTGGCGATTATTTGAATATTGCAAATTTTCATCTATCAAATTTATGACTTCTATAGTGAAATTTCTATTTCAGAAATACCTTCTAGTGCTACTTCCGATTCTGGTAGAGCCAATGATACTAAATACAAAGGTGAGAATCATCATTTATCATTTTGTCATTCCATCATTTTTTTTTCTTTCCTGCAACCTATAAGGCGCGGAAATTACGTCGTTATTGAGGTCATTGACAGTTGCAACAGCACAATGAAAGTAATCATGTCGTAAAATGCCCATTATACCGTACCTATCCATTTACGAAATCAAGTCCTGGCTAATAGAATAGATATAGAAAATTCGTGCCGTCGAATAATTTGATAATAACGAATTAGGATGATTTGTACGAGTGACGTGAATTAGATGATTTATATTAACGATTTATTACTGTATATAACAAGGTCGTTAGTTGATGACGAGGAAGGGAAAATAATTGAGGTAACAACGTCATAATCATAAAAAACATCAATGATGGAATTGTGACACGCATTTACGTGATATCTTGGATTAAGTGTCGTCTGATTAATTGACTCAATTAATAACCGAAATAACGACTCGACTGTAGAACCGCATCTTCGTTCATATTATATACAATATATATTCCTTCACCCCTATTTCAACCCCATGTAGATATTATCACTCCATCACTTGTAAGATTTTTTAATTACTCTTTAACGATACATAAAAAAAAACCCCACCAGAACTTTTCATCATTTTGTCACATTCCTATTCATCCCATTCCAACCAATCTGTCAGTGTTTCAACTTAGGGTATTCTTGATAATATCAACATCTGTAGAGTTACGCGTTGCAGAGTGTATCCGTTATTATTACGAAAGTGCCAATAAAGCATTTTCAAAATTTGAGAAACTAAAAAAAATTGAATCTCGAAACCTTCTTACCAAATTTCTTTTTTTCCAAGCCTAATCTATTTATGGGCGCGCCTGATTAACTCGATCGATCTATCTAACGCCGAATATCGAGTTCACTGTCTGCTTTTATTCTTCTGATCTTGTTAGGCGAGAATCCAGGCCCCCTGGACTTGAAGTATAAATGAACCAATGATCTCAGCTGTCAGCGGAAACATTAGGGCTCACGCTTCGCAAGATGCCACTTTGAAAACTCCTCCTTATACCTTTTGCGCCCATCCTTATCCGACTTCCCACTGGCAGACATTAAATAATTTTAGCTTCAGATTGACAAAGCGATACTGTTCCGTCACGCAATGGTTCCTGCTGGAAATCCATATGACCAGAGACCGGAAATCGATACCACCATTTTCTTTTTTTTTTCTATCCGCCTCTCAATCTGAATCGCGTTTTTTTTTCTTCTTACTGACAATCCAAATAATGCAAACTTCTAATTTACGTAATTTAACAAAATTTCTTTATGGTTTCGCACGTACATGATTATTGTACTATTTTTTTTTCTTTTTTATTCAATTGGTAAAACTATCTTTTCTGTTCTGGGTTATTTCAAAGGCAGTCGGAGTACTGTTGGGTGAAATCAAATTTTTCAATGAAATCAACCCAGTCAGCAGAACACTGAATGGATACATTCATATTTCAATATCCAATTAGCGCGTGACATAAAACACGTAATTTTCAAACTCCAAATTTATTTCCTGGGCTTTGAAATATTTTAAGACTAGTTAAACCCATACTTTGTAATATACAAACAAATTTTCACTTTGACTAAAAACGCGATAGTTAACTTATCAGACTTTAATGATGATTCGCTACTTTGCAAGTGAAATGTAAACGCATGCACGTTCACTTGAAGTTATTAGGGAATATTACTGCAATCCGATTAGCGGTAAGTCCTACCGTGTATTTCATACTCCTGAATTATATATACATATATATATATATAATACCATCAGACGACGATTTCAATGTAATACTGATTATACTCCTACGCTCTAGAAACAACCCTTTATTAGTAACCACCAACATTCCCTATAGTACGAACCCCTCATATCACCCTACAGTCCTTATAGATAACATACGCTTTCAATAAACTTGGTTATTTTATTATTAAAAAATAATTCAATATAAAATGCATATGCCGTATCGACATTCGTTCCATATAAGGAGTGTTATATAAATTTTAAACATAAGAAACATTTGTCATTTCAGTCAGACTCAGTTTTACCTAATCGCATAAAAATTGAAAAAGGCTTATACACCGATTCCGAAAGACTATTGGTTCAGTGCGCATTAGCAAATGACGTGACGAGAACTTCGAACCCGTGAACAGTCGTTAAAATCTTTTCGTAGTGGCGAGTCGAAGGCGGAGGTACGGCCGGAGCTTGCAAAAAATTGATAGTCCCTTTACCTAGGTTTTCAAATTTTTTATATACATTCCTTCGAATTTGTGAAAAATTTTCCAAGTTTTTCAAATGAAAAGCAAACATGGCTGCGCACATTCCTTTAGGGTTTCCGGTTTGCGTCTAGGAAATCTAAATGAATAGATTCTTTCCTACAGTAATATATATATATATATATCACATGGAATGTGTTCAGTATGTATTTGGAGAGTCGTACAGAAGTAGTAAAGAGTTAAAAAAAAAGGAGTTGATGCTCTGCGATACGAGAAAAAAACATGGCGCTAAATGCAACGTGTGATAGCAGCTTTAAAGAAAAAGTTTTAGCCAAAATCTCTTGAATGCCATTTTGGCCCGTAGCCTGGCTCGAGCCTCTTTCGCGCTGGCTAACGCCTAAAACTGACGGCTCCCGGAGTCCTTTCACACGAGTTTCGGAAACTCTGGCACCTGTGCGGCAATGTCCTATGTACAAGCATTATGCAAACTACTTGCCTGACCCTTCCCGAGGACCATCATATTGTGTCCCACAAAGCTTTTACACTGTTTACCAGCCGCCCTCTTCTGGGAGCGTACGTGTCCGAAATAATATATTATACGCCTAACCCTGCTTAGTTGTTAAGACAAGTGTACCCAATGACTCTTCTTCAGCGTCGAGTGTAAAATAAGTAGCCATCACCTATAGCACAGGAGTATAGCCGAGTGTTAACCCGCGTAACAGTTGGGTCATTGCAACCAAATATACCCAGCCAACTTTTTATTCGGATCGCATACCCATGAAATCATAGGTACCAGGGGTGTGCCAAAGAGGAAAAAAATATATTTACCCACGTCATTAACGAAAGTCGGTATGCTCGGGAAGCAACGTTGTATCGACGCGAGCGCTAACCGTAGAGAAGAGGCACGTCGGCTTTTGCTTCGAAAGTCTTTCCTCTCCTACTTTTTCTAGCAGGTTCATCTCTCAATGGGAAAACTTTAAGCATAATGCTCCTGCCTCGTTTTACGGCTAATCGATGTTTTTATGACTGCTCGGAAGTTTCCTGCACCGCGAACAAGAGGAATAAATATTGCGCAAGAAACTAAGACAAACGATGCACCGAACGACGTGATAAAACGGTGCTATATCCGATAAGCCATCGAGAGGAGTTATATCGTTGCAAGGCGTACGGGAGATTTGTATGTATTTTCTTGAATCGCGGACTTAATTTTGTAGTTGAAAAAAAAAATTGAGAATCTACGTACAAAAGGTTGGCTGATGCTAGAAACAATTTTACGTCTTGATCTGATTTTACGTATTCTTTGTAAATAGTGAGATCGATTTAATAATTAGAAAGTCTGTCGGCGTTATGTCCATTTGTATTGGAAGTCTGTGGCTAAGGTGTTGGATTTAGTAAATTTTTTTTTTTTTTTTTTTTTTTTTTTTT